ATTTAGCTATTTATATAATTTGAATAGAAACAATGAGCATATTGGGAAAAGTTTGCACGGAAACAAACGAGATCCAGAATTCGATAGAAAACGCCTTTTCCGAATCGCTGAGAATATCGTGTGATTTTCATAAACAGCAAAAACAACCTTCGATCGAAGAATAAATTAATGCTCGAACGTTGAATGAACGCAAATCCGATGTTTTATATAACACGACCTATACAATAGAAATATTGGTGTATGCAAAAGTTTTAATCTTTTTACGATCGTTTATGTATAGTTGTTCGAGAAAGTATCCAAATATTTTCCGACGATCGAAAATATTGTCGATATTTAAGCTGACACACCCGAGGAAGTTGTAGAACTTTTAAATAGGTTCCATTTAAAATGTGGACCGTGGAACTTGTTTAAAAAACGTTCCCCCACGTTCTATAATCGGATCAGAGTTGGTAAAGAAAAGTTTTAGTTGAAACGGAATAGCAATTTTTCTATAACAAGAATTGTTTCACGATATTAGAATTTATCATTCTTAGAAACGTGGAATATTATTTAATAAATGGCACGGTAACAACAGTAAATAATTACAGAAGTTAAATTGATATTCTGAATATGTAATTTATTTGTAATATTTATATAAATAATTTACGGGTTGTTTGTGTTTCTCTAATGAGACCTTCCTTCATTAACGTTCTGAGAAACTTTTACTATACCGATTCTAATATGTTACCCCGAATATACGTATACTATTATTATCGCATGATTAAATTCGAACGTTGCATTTGTTTCTTAACTTAAATTCAATCGCATAACGATGGTACTACACACATGTTCGACCGTACAGTAGCTTAATACGATTTACACAATTTACGCAAATACGAATTACGCGCGCGTTTGGATTTAATATCACTTTTCCTACGGTATAATACGCGGAATATTAATATCTTTCCAGTATTAGCAAGCAACGAGTGCAGTTATTAATAAGAAAAAAAATCTTTTCAATCGGACGTCAAGTTTTCGATGCGAATGATTAAACGTCACCGGCAAAAGGCATTCGTACGTTCCATACACGAAATATTTACAATAATAATAAGCAACGTCGAAGGCGACTCTTTAAAATCAATTAACGGAAACCGTAGGAAACGGGAGCAATTTTGCTGTTCGCGAAGGGGAATACCAAATATTCGTTCGAACGACTAATATACAGGGTGAGTGAAATAGTTGAATGACTCACCCTGCGCATCGATACTATTGAAAAATCCAATTAGCTAGAATAGCTGGTTTCTTCGTATCCTGGGAAATATATTTTTAATTCGCAGACGAATCGTTTTACACAGGAATGAATTCTTCCAATGCTTGCTTCGTTCACGAAATCTCCGAAAAATAAACCTTCGCGGTTCGCATCGTCGGGCACGCGGCATCTTCAAATAAATATCCGCGTTCGATTATTCTGTTCGGAATCTCGTTTAAGAAAGTAATACACGCGGAAATGCGAGCTTTCATAAAAAGCTGCGCAAACCCATTCAGGCCGGGAAATTAACTGCAGCCGAGAAAGTATCATCTCCGTATTATAAACGTCCCCTATTCCGCGCAGAGTGTAGGCTGTGTGGATTCCTAATGAAAGCACTCGATTTCGTATTCATACGAAGGAACCAGTTAAAGCACCCTCTTCTCTCTTCTCTCTCTCTCTCTCTCTTTCTATGATCTTGCATCGGATCATCATCAGCGTGCCGATGAAGTTGGTAGGTCTCAGAAGCCGACTTCGCGCGGGTCCTAATTTGCCTCAAAGAAACCCGTTCGTTGCGAGACCAGTGATTGGTAACCGATTCACAGGCAGCGTGTTATAGTATCTCTTGATTAAGTCCGGGACCGACTATCATTTGCATACACGCAAGATAAGAAGCGCACGCACACACTCTCTCTCTCTTTTTCTCTTCCTCTGCTTGCATAATTGAATATTGCACTTCCGTTACTTTTTCCCTGAATTTTTACGCTGGAAGGTGTCGCCCGGAATACTTCGACTATTTTCTCCATGGAAATTTTTGGACCCTCCGAATTACAATTTTCACTAATTTCTGGAAAGTGTGAAAATTAATTGATTCAATTTGATTTCGACAAGTAATGCTTTCGACAATTTCTTACGATCTTCTAAGAATATAAGACGATTCTGCAATGGCCATTCTTTAACCTCTGTTACATAAACTTATAGTTTCACAATGAACACGTATACAAAGAACCTTAATTACTAAAACTTTGAAATTGGTTACTTATTTGGTTGCCGGCGTAAGAGTTGCAGCCGAAGTTCAAAATTGGCTCGAGCTACTTCGGGTTATCGGAGGTGTTACAAGGTTTAATTTACAAACTGATGTGCCTCGGGAAAATTAATGCAACCTGAAAATTGAAAAAATATTATATATTAAATATTGTAATGTATATCAAATATTATATAATATAAGCCGAAAGGCAATTTTGAACTATTTTAGGTTATTGGAGGTGTTACAAGGTTATATTTACAAACTGATGTACCTCGGGAAAATTGAAAAAATATTATATATTAAATATTATAATGTATATCAAATATTATATAATATAAGCCGAAAGGCAATTTCGACCCGCTTACAATTAGTCAGAACGTTACTCAATTTCAATGAAATTTTCGGAATATATGCCACCGACATAAACTCGCGTATATTTTAAACTTTTCGTATAGGACCAGATAAAAAAGTTAAATACAATGATTGTAAACGAATGATTGTAAATGTATGTAAACGATTCAAAGGTATTCATTTTTTGTCAGAGATGAACGATGAATTCACGTTGCTTTTCATTTGTATCGCGGTTTCGATAATGCTCGTTTCTAACTTTTATACACCGCAGCTTTTTTACTTTTTCGCGATGATCGTCGCGCTGCAATTTATTTTGGGTCGATTTCGAATGGAAAATAAAACGTTAATCCTTGCATGAAAGTATGCAATCGAAACGAGCCGAATGCGTATGGTTTGAAAAGGTTTTTTTGGGAGATTGATAATTGTACAGTAATCCGAAAACACAAAGAAGTCGCAAATACGATACAACGAATAAAATTCGCAAAAGTTTGTATCAATGTTTTTACAACTTTTGAATGCCAGAACCGTTTACTCGGTCATCGTTTCAGCTACTACGAATCGCGCTAACTCGAACTCACAGATGATCTAGCGTGGACACAATGCAAAGCACGATGCGAACTCTAGTAAATAATTGACAGACCCTCGTAAAGGCGGAAACAGGAATCTCGATGAAAAAGCGCGGAGCTTGTTTCTCGACGAAATAACAAGGTAAAAGATTCGAAAACTCGGCGACTCGTGTAGCACTCGAAACAAGGTTCCACCGGAGCCGAAAACGGCGATCCCCGAGCTCGATAGGGACACGGAATTCATAAGACGACCCTGGTCCGTATTTGGAATCGGCCAACAAGAAGAATGCAGCGAACGGTCGCCGAAACGGAATCACGGTCGCCTCCAGCGGCGCAGAAAACTCTAGCCTCGTCGGTACCAGCGAGACACGCGTATTCTCGAGGAAATTCATTTCGGTTGGCCGGCTGGCAGGTTATAAGTTAGGGGACGAGCAGGGTCGTCGAGCAGTCGTCGGCCAATATTTTCGTGGTCTCGCGACCGGTCAGCGGCCGCGGTGCGGCGAATTAATCGGGTTCGCGAAAGCGCCGGGAACTTCCTCTTGCCAGGAGATAAATTATTTGATCGCGGGGCAAGTTTAACGGCCAGTCGGAATTTTTCGTCTCGATAAGCCCGGAACGATCCGGTGGTAATTCCGATGACCAATTGAAATTTTTCGAACGGCGCGGTTCGCCGCGGAGGATCGATATCGTCCGCTAACGGGTTCGACGGAAAGCACCCGCTCGGCTCGCAAGATTTTCGTAACGCGATTTCCGCGACTCAAAGCGCGCTTCGCTCTCGGGAAAAAATTCGGAGCGATGCACGACAAACTGAATTCCTTGTACGCCCGTCGCAGAGGATATCGGAGCAGAGATCTCCCGAGAAATCAAAATACATTACAGATACGTGGAGACCGGGAAGTGTTCGAACGGGGCCACGTTAGAAGACAAAGCGGCGGCGGCGACGACGGCGACGGCGGAGGAGAAGGACGGAGAGGAAGATTTCTCAAAAGAGTCCGTTAGACCGGCTTCATTCGCAAAACCCACGATGAGCTCACGTCCCATCGGTTTCCTTAGCTCCGTATATACAACAAAGACTCTTGTCCTGTTTGAACAGACTCCCTCTCCCGCCGAACTATTTCCTGCGCTGGAACCTGCCGGCGGGATTGCCGTTGCCGTTGCCGCACGGAAAACGTAGCAGTATACATCGGCGGGCTGATTTCGACCAGCCGATAGGTATCCGAAATTAGAAAATACCGGCACGATCCGACCGGAAACAATTATTTCGCACCAAAGTCTCATGAAGTACGTGCGATGACTCGGAAACCCGACTCGGCCTCGACCCCCGACTCCGACATTGCGACCCGTCCACGAAATACCTTCGTATATATCTCTCCCGCACGGTTTTCTTCCTGTTTCCCTCGTATCTTGGATAACTCAAAGGCCGCCGTGCGCTCTGAAATATTTACAAATTCTTCTGGCTCCGCTCCACGGAACTTTCCTTTCCTCGCCGAGTCGAGACAATGCGCTCTCCCTTTCCAGGTTCCCTCGCTCGGACGCGATTCTTTCGACGCGCAAGCAACAAGATGGATTAAGAACTTGACCGAGCAAGAAGGATATTTTTAGAAATCCCGCGCGCACACGTCGGTCCATTTGGAACCCAACTTGCAACCGTCGACGCGATTTCCGGCGTGCTAGAAACGCAACCGCGGTTTTCTCTCGGTCCTGGGTCTCTCGATGCCCCGGTGTGCACGGTTGCTCGCAGTCTCCTCGGTCGCTTCGGTGCTTCAAACTTTCCTGCAAACTCCGCTGATGCTCCACTCTCCGACCGTCTTTAAGTATATTCCCTCCCGCATGCATGTTCCCGCTGATGCGGTCCGACACTTGCCCCGTGTTCCGTACTTTATTCTCCCGTTACGCTAATCAGACGCGATTATTGCGAGCCGTGCCTTATCGCTGGACTGCAAACCTCGAATTCTCTCTATCGACCAAGAGATTACTCGTTGCGACGAGAAAACGAAAATGCCGTTAGTTCTTGTTACTTTATACACAGAGATCCGCAGTTTACTTATTGCCTCTGGAAACTACAATAATGTCTCCCTTACTCACGCTCAGATTGTCCACTAAAATCCAGAGAAATCATTGATCGTCGTTATGACATGCCTTCCCATTCCGAAAAATCCGGAAAACGAATTCCCACTAGTCTCAGTAAATGAACCAAAATTTTGCTGTAGACCTAGAGGAACCAGTTACCGAGACTAGTGAGTTTGATTTCTGAAGAGATCTCAAAAATCCGGAAAATGAATTCTACTAGTCTCAGTAACTGGTCCAAAATTTTGCTGTCGACCTAGCCGGACCAGTTACTGAGACTAGTGGAATTGATTTTCCAGATTTTTGGAATATGTCTGGAAATCCATCCCACTAGTTACAGTAACTGGTCCCCCTAGGTCGACAGCGAAATTTTGGACCAGTTACGGAGACTAGGAAAATGAATTCCACTAGTCTCAGTAACTGGTCCAAAATTTTGCTGTTCACCGAGGGGGACCAGTTCCGGAGACTAGTAGAATTCATTTCCGGGTCAGTTCCCAAAAATCCTGAAAATCCATTCCACTAGTCTCCGTAACTGGTCCGCCTAGGTCGATAGCAAAATTTTGGACCAGTTACTGAGACTAATGGAATTCATTTTCCAGATTTTTGGGATATGTCTGGAAATCCGTCCTACTAGTCTCAGTAACTGGTCCAGCTAGGTCGACAGCGAAATTTTGGACCAGTTACTGAGACTAGTAGGATGGACTTTCTGATAGATGTGATTGGGAGTGTAGATCAATTTTTTTGGCTAAAAATATCGCTAAAATTCTAAAATTAACTGTTTATTACAGTTTATTATTATTCTTAAAAGCCTGTCTCCTACACATTTGCTAATATTATAACTGTCGTATCTCCTCTTCCCCAATTGTCCATATTTGTGCGCAATCTGGGCGTCAATTAGAGAGACATTACTGTGTATCTTTGAAGTACGATGACAGAAATTGGCCATGAAATGAAGCATTTTCACGAGATCTCAATAATTCAACTTATTTCTGATCTTTCGGAAATAAGCAGAAAAGCGATTTCCCCCTCTTAAATGTAGAAATCTGAGATCCAGGTTTCTCTTGTACCTCCTCCTCGTTGAAAATGATCCAGCGAACGGTCCAAAGTATCCAAGGAACGCGTTCTCCGACACGAATCGAACTGGCTCAATTTTTCATACGCTCGAACGAAAGTTTCCGTCGAATCGTTAATAAATCTAGCTCGCTGAATAAACCTGAACTTGCAGTCGTCTCTGCAAAGAGGGGCAAAGAGACTGCCGTCTCGGTGAAGTTAGGCGCGGATCGCTTAATCACCGCGTTAACAATAATTGGCCGCTGTCGAGACTGCAACATCACGACAGCGTCTAAATAGAAAATTTTCCATAGGCGAGCGTGGGAATTAATGAGCAGCTCGTACGATTTCAATAAGCTGGCAGACAAGGTCTCGGTTCGGGTGGCGTGAGCAAGCCACGCGGCGGGGGGTTCCGTAAAATATATAGCGGATCCCTGGCCGGCCGGCTCCAATGGTAATCTCAAATATACGATCTTCATGCGAACTTTTCTTTTCCACGGGGTTACGCGAAGGGAGACGCGGCGCGCGAGCCTCGGTCCTGGACTTATTTTAATAAGATCGAGCCTGGACTCGAAACTTTCATCGATAACATTTGCCCGTTCTGCCGGACGATTATAAAGTAGTTAAGTCCGCGCGCGTGATTTATGACCGACGCGAGAGATCTCGTTTCGTTTCGCCATTTTCATAGCCGGCCGTTTCTCGGACTTTCGTCGTTCGGTCGTTCCTCGAAGGAGCATCGCGCGCGAATTACGCGCCGCGCTGATTGCGCGGCCGCCTTTATTTGGTAGCCGGGATAGATTATCAATCATTAAGCAATTTTCGCCGGCGTTCGCGAAATCGTGGACGAATACCTCCGCAAAACGGCGGCCATCAATCTTCGACCGGCCGCTGGTCGAATAAAAATGTTTACCGCGCGTTTCCTGAACGGCGCACGCGAGTCCGGTTAATTTCGTGCCGCATCGTCTACGAAAAATTTTGCGTTCGATCCGAGATCGAACTTTAATCCCTCGGAACTACTATTTACCGAGCAATCACGACGGGACGATCAAACGTTCGACGGTTGAGTCGACAAAATGTCGCGTCGCAAAGAACGCCG